TAAGGTTAAGAGGCTGAGCTCGTAGATGATGATAAATAACATAGTTATGTATAATATATTACATTTCTGACTGTATATCCCTGTAATTATTACTGAGAAGTTAATTAATATATATAGTTTTTATTCAATGTTATAATTTGGCTTTGTTATTATTAACCCCAAAACAATCTTAACTTCTAGCCTTTATTTCCATTTATTTTACTTCCACATGTATGAAATTGAAATGAACTGACAATCATTGAATGTTACAGGAGGGATTTCACTAAACGTGTCATTTCTATGATATGTGGTCTGTTTATCAGCTAAACAACCTGTTCCTCTTGACTACCGGTCATAAATATTCTTTGTGGTTTGTCTAAAACACTGCAGCTTCCCTACTGGGACAAGCTTTTGCAAAATTCCTACTATCAAACCCTACAATTTTCTAAAATCATAGCTTTAAGAAATCTTCTTGTCATAAAAGCTCTGAACTTTTTAGGGGTTGATTCTGAGGACAACTTGGGTTGTATGTTTTTTTTGTTGTTGCTTTTTTTCCATCTAAACTAAGAGGGGGTCTAACCTGTGGACCTCAAGAGTTAATTTGCCTGTTGGCATTTGAATTTCTTCTAGTCATTTTACAACGTGTTAAGAGAGGATGCTGCCAGTTTATACCAGTTAAACTGAAACAACAATATTAAGATCTACCAAAGGTTATACATCTATGATTCCAGCAGAAGAGCTAAAATGACCATTCTTTGAACATATTAAAGTGCGTCACCCTTTCTTAAAGATTATGTTGTTGCACAGCTCTCTATCTTAAAATGCGAAATAACGGTGCAACTCCCTGCAGTTGTGGCTCTGAAGCTATAATTTGAGGATGGGAGTGCGAGTTATATTGGATGCTATGTAAAGCTTTTCCTTTAAGCATTACAGCTCTACAGCAAATATTTTTCTTGCTCTTTTTTGCCGCCACAGATTTTGATAAACTTTTAATTATACTTCCCCTTTCATTATTTTGTCTAATTTGTCTTAACGCACCGTAGGATGTGGCTTTTATGTCACTGTAGGTCACACAGGCAGACATACCAGCTTTGGGCCACACATGCTCTAAAGAGTCAGCGCAGGATAAACAATATCCAATTTTAAACCTATAGATTAAAAGGTAACATCTTTTGACATGTATGCGAGTTGGGGAATTGTGCCCACATGTAACATTAGAGCTGTAATTTTCTGAGTGAAAATAGCTGGCACTGCCCAGTGATCCAGTCACTCTGACCACAGATGTACTTAGAAGTTCCCTTGCTGAGTTTTTAAAGAATGTAGATAGAAAATTCAAGCTAAGTCTTTGGTTATTTCAAGAATTGCTATTTAGTATTCTATAAAATATACATCCTACATCACTAGTTATCAAAAAAAATACAGTTACTACATCAAAGGAAAAGGCTGAGGTCCATGGCTATCAAATTAATGTCTAAGTTCTAATTAGAAATTGTATGGGTGTGTAATTTGGTCAGGTGATTTGTCAAAGGCCCCCTATTATTCTACATTTTAAAATGAAATGTCCTCCAGATGATGTTTTTTGGCGTTCCTCTCAGGTTAGGTAAACAGCCTTTACCAAAAATGTACTTATTAAGCCCTCCTCTGGACAAGCTGCTTTGGCTTTCCACACCCCTGTCCCCCCAATGGCCACCCCCACCCCCCATAACCCATAACCATGGCAACCAATGCAATTTTTTAAAGATAGTCCAGGAGCAGGAAATAATCGGTCTCCGCCAGTCACGTGACTTTTGTTGCTAAGACGCCATTTTAGTTGGAAAAGGTGTAGTGTAAACAACCGCAGCATAGCTAAACGAAGGANAATCTACAGTGCCGCATATTGACGAAAATCCCACTTTTCATGCCCTGATTATTGCCATTACTGTTAATATAAAGAGGCATTTTACACATTTAGTAATAAAATGTCACAGGTGATGGTACAGTATGTGGTGATGTTCATTTAAGAAAGGGGATGATTTTGAAGATTTTTTTTAGGGATGCCACCCCCCTCTTCCCCCTCAACCTGAGTACTGCCTACTTCAATACGAAAAAAGGGATCTCCTTATTATTTTAATAATAATTTAAGCAGAACTATAAAGAAATAAAATACAACGGGCCCAAAGGACCTATCACTGATTTCTGTTATAGCACATATTATTTTAGGAAATGTATTTAGTATTCTGTCTTCAGTATAGGGGCCAAAGCAGGCCCCTATTGGCCCCTGTCTAAACCCTGATGCTTCCCTGGCTATAACTAAGAGCCAAATAGCTTTGCTGACTTGCTTGGCTTTTTTCCTTTTTGATAGACATAATAATACTTGGACTTGTTATATTAAATACACACAAAACTTTTTGCTCAATGGAAATTGAGCAAAAACAATGTATAAAAAGTGTAAAAACCATTTTATCAGAGGACTTCTGTATCCAACCAGATTTATCTACAGCACAACACAAGGCATTAAAGGTATAAGTAATGTCCTTTATTCATTTTCTCAGTCTAAATAAAGCCCTTCTCCACAAGTGTGAGGTCTGGTAGAAACCACAGCAGCCCAGCCCACCGCCAGACCCAGGGTGGCTCCTCTGTGGCAATCGCAGCAGCGGAGGCCGGACAGTATGAGGCCATTACCCAGATGCTGCACCTCATCTTAGAGGGAAGCTGTTCAGCTGGGTGCAGCCATTACAGTAAAGAAAAAAAAAGCATAAAATTATCCTCAACTTTGGTTCTATATTTGGCTGTGTCTCTCAGCCTCTTTTTTTTATTTCATGTGCCGGCCACAGCCAGTGGAGAACAGCACCTCGGCTCCCAGTGAAACCCTATACTTTCCCCTTCTGCTGTTCCCTCCCACTCTGTCCACCCATCTGAAAGGTTTCTGGAGATACCTTCAAACTCTTCTTAAAAACTCTGTACACTGGATGCACACCCTGGAATAAATAAGAAGCTCTCCTTGATTTGTGGTGTCTGCAGAGGGGAATATTTTGGATTACTATCCCCTAATGATGCTGCTGCTGTGCTGATTCAGAGCGTGAGCGCTGGAGGCAGAGAGAGAGTGATTCCTTCAGTGAGACTGACTCACCATCCAGGTATGGGGAAAAATCATCATTTTACTGCTTTGTTCCTCTACAAAACATATTTATCCATTGTGTAATAATGGGTTATTTGGGATTAAATGCAATCCAAAAAAGTAAACCACACTTTTAGACATGTTGCTTTAAATTTGGCTCATCCTGAATGCTTTTATCTGATTTCATTGTCTTTAGTCCAGCTCATGTTTCTTTAAATGTAATTTAAATAAAGTTATATAGACATTTTTCCTCCTTGGACTTTATGTGCATGTAAGATCTACAGCAGGCTCTGTTTTTAACATCTGGGGAGCAATAAACTCCCTGCTTCTGTTATTGACATCTAAGCTGCAGGTCTGAGCTTTGCTGCTGAGGGAGGAACTGGAAACAGTGTTGAAGGAAACTGCACCCTAGGTTCAGATGCTGAATGAGGCAAAGCAGCCACCTCAAATACTTCATCTGCTCATAAAATAGCTGAATATTGAGTTTTTATTTTTATTTTTTTATATAGGGGTTGATGGATAAGACATGTGGAAAACTGTGCTTTGTTGAAGAAATATTCAAACCCCTTAGGATGGGAGCATTATATATTTGACACCCCCTAAATGAAACGACAATTTTGAGTAAATGTGCTACCACAGGCCACAGGGTACAGTCTCTGAGTCATGCAGTGGTTGGTTTGTGATCTGGGTGATGTGACTCTTTGCTCAGGGCGCCACATCAAAGGAGGGTTTGAGGACCCAAAAGCAAGGAAACAAACATACAAAAAGATTTTTTTCCCTTTCTGCATCCTCAGGATGTCTGCTCTTAAAGGTATAGTGGAGGACCCATCCTCTCCATTAAAAAAAAAATGCATGTGCAAGAGAGTGCACAAGCCCATTTCTCCTCGTGCACACCCTGTATAAAATGTGTTGTTCTCATAACTCGTACAAGCTGACTGTGTCCACATACAGCGGCGACTACATAGTGGACTTTATAGCAAACTCAGGTAACTGACCGTTTGGTAAGATGGTCACTGCTTTTTGCTCCGTTGTTCACGTAACTCCTCCTCCACGCACGGTGCCTGCGCCATCTTTGTTATTAGTCGCTGCTGTCAGGTAGCGACAGCCTATGGTGACAGGGGGCTGCTGTGACAGCAAATCTGCCTCTTCTGAGGCCTTTGTTTTCTTCTTATACACTTAGTAGACACTTTTTCTCTTACGACCGTCAGCCATTTTCAAAGAACCGTGGTGAGAAAGGTGAGCTTCAATGATTGTCTGAAACCGTAGCTCACCACAGATATGCGCCTGAAAGAGTGCTAACTGGGTTAGCACGTAGGACGGCCTTACGTAAACATATCACCAGAATGATTGACAGTTAGGAGGACCACTTATTTAGATGATCCACCCGGAAATAAAAGATCGTCCTCTATACCTTTAACATTCAAAAAATAAGAACAAACCCAAAATTCCGTATCAGGAGTGTTCAGAGATGTATTTTGTGCTGCATTTAAACTTAACAATATACTTTTAAAGGTAAAACTTTAATCAAACATAGTGAAAAAAAGAAAAAACTATTTTAGTTGTGCCTTAAATTAACTCCCACTCTGATCGTGAATTCTTTAAAACACAAATTTAAATATACTAAGCCTGTATTACAGACAGAGAAAAGTGGTGAAAATGTAAACGATTCAGGTTATAATAGGTCACACACCAGTGATAATTTCCAGAATCTTTAAAAAAGAAACAAAACCCCAAGCTCTAATAATGAATCCTATCAGAAAACAGAAGATTTTAATGCTTCAATTTATTTTAATGCTTTTTTTATGCTAATTCTTTACTTAACTCTTGGCAGAGAAAAGTTTTCTGATTTTTTTATTTTAAGTGCACCTTAATTCAGGGCATTTGGAGCCGTTCAGCTCGCATACCTAAGCTACTCATGAATAGCAACAGTGAAGGCATGTTGCAGAAATAACCCATAAGTGGAATCAGATAAGAAAATTAGTATCTGGGAGTAGCTGTTTGCTTACCCAAAAGTTTACAAAGCCGTAACTATTCCACCTTTAAACACAGGCTGTTCTATTTATAACCCCCCACCCCAAAGAAAAAAAGGAAAAACTTCTATATATATATATATAAACTTAGATACGGCAGTCTACCTGTTTAATAACTGTCAGCACAGTGCTTTGCAGAAAAGGGTTTTGCCATTGTGCATAGCTTAAAGTGCATAGCTTAAAGTCATGTACTTCATGGATCTTACTTCTAAAAAGATGGTAAATGAAGAAAAATGCTAGAGAGTGTTAAGAAATTTGATTTGTAGCCTACAAAGGATTATACTGATGAAAATCGCGAATATGTAGAAGAAGGTGTTCTGGTCAGAAATTGTCCTGGCATCCATGCTGAATGTGGGTCGAAGCTATGACCCGAGTGACCACACATACTAAGAGATATGGTGGTGGAAGTATAATAATGATGTAGGGGTATTTTTTTTTGTATATTTCAATCTATTGCCTTTTATCAACAAAAAAAAAAAGAAAAAATATGGACAACAAAAGACTAAAACTTTGTAACAAATGACAAAATCTTCTGGACCTAACAAAAACGTAATGAAAAAATACTGGAGGAAGAGCAAACTTAGACAAAACTAACTGTAGTCTAGTGGAAAGGTGAGATGGTTTAAAAAAAATCTGCAACATTTGGGTTTTTAAGGTTTAATCAAAGCAGCAAATCCAGACCAAGTTGTTTTAAACACTAAAATATCATATAAGTTCAATCAGCAATATTTCTCAAAAACTAAATGTCTTAAAGATTTTTTAAAAGCCCCTAAAAAAACATTCCCATGATACATCTTATTCTACACAACTAAATGTGAAGTAAACACACCAACAACATCTTTGACTAAAACATAGATAATATATCTTGGGAAATTAGTGCAGATAAAAACGTCAAAGTTACCAAAATATTGGACAGAGAGGGATGGAAGGAGGATAACAGCTGACTGAAGAGGCCTACCGGGCAGAGAGCAGCAAAGCAGGGAGAGGCGGCTACCAGCCAGTGTCTGCAATGGAACAAAGGGAAGAGAATGATCAGCCCTTTTAGGGCTAAATTACAACAGATAATTTTTCAAAGATGTCTGCAAAACTCTTAAGACGATTTGGTATCTCATCCTTTTTAACTTTATTTTATCTATCTTCAAGTTTGATTGAAAAAAGCTTATCTCTGCTTTACCCTACATCACAGTCCCATCTCTGATTAGTTTTCACAACGTGAATATACACAAAGGTTCAAATCTTTTTGTGTCTCTGCTTCTGTCTCCTTGAACCCCCGTCAGCCTCGGAAGATGGCCGCTCACACTGAGTCTAATTCTGCTGGAGATTTCTTCCTGTTAAAAGGGAGTTTTTCCTCTCCACTGTCACTACAAGCATGCTTAGTTTGAGGGGTTGTATTTGAGGCAATGAGTTGATGCAATCAACTGGTTTTCCTTAGAAAACTTTGAATATATTTGACTGTATGATCTGGTTGAAATGTAAAAGGCCTTGAGGTGACATGTGTTGTGAATTGGCGCTATAGAAATAAACTGAATTGAATTGAACATAGCAAACTAAAGCTTTCCAGAGCAATCAGAGGTAGTTTAAGCCACTTTTCTCACATCTTGCATGCTATAAATATTATGCTCCTTTTCTCTTCTGCTAATAATTTTTAGCTGAAAATATGCAATCCAAAGTGAAATTATAAATAAATTATTTTATCAAAGCTTGCAATCAGCAGCTTGGTGTTATATAGCAATACCAACCTTTTCAGAGCAACCTTAAGCCACTTTTCTCACATCTTGCATACAATAAATGTTACTGTCAACTTCAGTTTGACTGTATGATCGGGTGAACTTTAAAGTGCCTTGATATGACATGTGTTTTGAATTGGCGCTATATAAACAAACTGAATTGAAGTCTTCATATTCCAGCTTATTTAGCTTTTTTGTACCTGTCAGGTACGGCAGCGTTCTCGTGTCGCTGTATCCGCCAAAAACATGCCTTTCACCTTTTTATATTTGCGACCTTTGCCTGGTTTTGCGTGGCAGTGCTCCTCAGCATAGGAAGAACATAATTGGCTGCGGGAGATTTGCATTCAGTATAAAAGCACCTTAATAGGTTATTTCTTTAAGTGTTTATAATTCAGTCTGATCCGATCTGAGACTCATACCTTACTCCAACTTTTTTCCCTTTTTTCAAATAGTTTTTTCCAATATTAGTCATAATATTTTATTTATATAGTTTTCAAGAATAAAGAAAAAAAAAACGAAATTATTATTTTGTATTTGTATATTTTTTGGTTTTATTCATAATGCTTTTTGTTTTTTTTTACTGTTTATATGATTTTTTTTTTTTTTTTTCCAACACTTTAAAAAGACAGTGCTAATGTTTTTGACTTTCCGGATTAAATAAATGCTTAATGATCAAAATTAAAATATGAATCATGTAGAATAACCTTCTATGGCGACCGTAGTGTTGGTCAGCACCCTTGCCTTACAGCATTAGGTTCTCTGTGCCTTTTCTCTGGGTACTCTGGCAGGATCTTAGCTTTGCCCTTCAACCACTAATATCAAACTAGCTTTTAAGAGTCGTTAAAAATGGAATCTTTATGTCCCAAAGTATTAAAATAATGAACAACAGGGTCTGTTTATTTTTTCTTCAGTTTCTTTCCTGACTCAAGCAAGCACATGTGGTTACCTGTTTCCTCTGGAAAATAAATATGCGTTTTAGCGGAAAAATCTTACTGTGATGTTAAGGTGAAAGATGGTGAAAAGCTTTTTAGTTCCTGAGGGATTTCAGCTTTCTTTCTTGACCATAACTCAAATTTTCCAAAGCTTCCCCCAGATGACCCCCTCATCCCTAAAATGAGACAGTCTTCCTGTCAGGATGAGCCCATGTTTAGGCTAGAGTCAGTGAGATGATGGTCCTTTAAAAACAGCAGGCACTGCGACCCATGCTGTGTAAAGTTAAGAATAGTGATGTGTTTAGATGTTGGCATTATAACACAAGAGCCTGTAATAATAAATCCAGGCGAATGCCAAAAATGAGTATTTTGAAGCATGGAGAAGGTTTCATCTGACTGGATATCTTTGTCTAGGTTTTAAATGCATTCAGATCGTGCAACATCAGCTAAGCCCTCTTGCCCTGCATTTTTCTTTTTCTGTCTTGTGGGTGGAGAGAAAGACATAGTTTGGCTTCAAGTTTCAACCATCTTCGGTCGGTCCAATTTTCTCTGGATTGAGAATTCACTTCATCTTCTAAATAGATGGGTTTTTTTTAGTCTTAGCTTTCAATTATCATGTTCGGAAAGAAGAACATATCCTGCCAAGCTTCAAGTCAACAATATACTGGAGTAAAAGAAAGCTTCGGCATGAGAGTAGGCCAGGACTCACCCTGATCTACAAAGACCCCCCCCCCAAAAGAAAGCATTGCATGAGCACTTATGTTGCAGGTGATCAAGAAAGATTGCGTGGGTTACTGATATCAGGTGCAAAAGAGGTGTTCACTGCCCTTTTTCAGAGAGGAATTAACTTTACAGGTCGAGAAAGGAAGATGAAGTTCAAAGCCATGGAGTTAGAAGCATTCATTTTTCCTTTAAAAAGAAAAAATATATAAATAATTTTTTTTATGACACACATTGATATCTCAAAGTGCCACAAAAATAATTACTTTTAAAAAGTTGAAAACTATACAATCTGAAATAAAAACACAAAATATCAATAATAACTCTCTCTCTGTCATTAGACCTAATCCTCACAACAAAGACTGCAGATATCCAGTTCAATTCAGTTTATTTCTGTAGCCCGAATTCACAACACATGTCATCTCAAGGCACTTTACAGTTCACCAGATCATCCAGTCAAACTGATTCTAAGTTTTCTATCAAGGGAAAACCAGTTGATTGCATCGACTCATTGACTCGAAGGCAATCCCTCACACTTGTAGCGACAGTGGAGAGGAAAAACTTCCTTTTAACAGGAAGGAACCTCCAGCAGAACCAGGCTCAGTGTGAGCGGCCATCTTCAAAGAGACAGAAGCAGAGACACAAAAAGCAGCTGAAAAAGGCGGCCTCATCCAGGAAACACACAGCCAGGCAGATGAGCTCCGAGCCAGCTCCCATGTCAGAAGATGAAGAGAGCACATCCAGCCAGTCACAGTCAGAGAAACAGGACTACACTGAAAAACAGTCCGATCTCTTTCTATACAGTTGTTGGTTTGAAGCGTGTTAAATATACAGTATACCCCATTTACACAAGCCTTTGGAAACCGTGCAGAGAACAATCCAAACACCTAACCGAGATAACTGTTGAGTGTAAATAGAACGCAACTGAACTTGACTGTGCCAGACACAACGGAACACCGCTAAATATAGTACTAGTTCAACAGTAGGGCTCAGTGCGGTTCGGTTGTGGCTCTGTTCTCCGATAACAAAGAGCAGAGCGCATCATCTCCTATTTACAGTCCACTGACTCCTTCTGCGGGTTTTCCGACGTGTGCATTGCAATTCACAGATCTCTCCACCTGTTCACATCATGAACTTCTTCTCAGCTTATTAACAATAAATTGCATCAAATGAGCGTGGTGTGACCTGGGATGATGCCGAAATCGAGAAGGATGGCTTTTTCACCTCACATTCCGCAAACGACAAAACACCACTAATAGAAACAAACATAAGTTCCTGAATGTTATGGGCGTCGCCATTTTTGTCTGTGTAATTCCCGCCTGAGAGCTGTAGTATTGTGGACCGCCGATAGGAGTCGAGGAAGCGTGATGTGTAAATGATCGTGAGGACCAAGCTCGAAACAGTTAACTGATCCAAACTCGGCACGAATCAGTTTCAGAGGGGTAGTGTAAATGGGGCTATAGATGCAGAAACTAAACCTGCAAACTGTTTCCGGTTTGATACATTGCAGTGCATGAGGTAAGTATTTAAACTTGCATATATTGCAAAAATTCAAGGCAACCAGGCTAAATGCACCTGCTATTTAAAACATTTCACAGACCCTTTTTGTCTGCAATGTGGTTTTCCCATTTTTCTTAAACCCAACCTAAATCAAGATCAAGCCCTAAGTGTTTTCAGATGTATCAAGTGTTTTATCATAATAATACATTTTGGTCAAAGGTATCTTTCAGGAAATAGTTTGTGGAAGCTTTCCGGAAGGTTATTTTTTAAGTTAGGATGTGAATTCAAAATCATTGAGGACTCTTCAAGGCAACCTTTAGTATGTGCCCGTTCTCCTTTTTATTTTATTTTATTTGAATACTTTAGATAATGGAGCTCATTTCAAATATCTCAGTAAAAAAAATATATATATATATACAGTCTTCAAATGATGATTCAGTTTAAAAAGGGAGCAAATCCTTTCAAACCAACGAACCGCTTGTTGAGTCTTGGATTTAATCCTGTAAATTTTGGGGGTTTATTGATGATCTGTTTCTGTGGACTGATGCATATAATTTGGTGACAAAAAAACATTTTCCATTCAATTCTTGTGCTTAAAGATGTCAGAAAGCAAAAACATTGAAGCCTCCATGTAAAGACAATCAAGCAGATGGAAAACTAAGCAGTGTACCAGTCTTACAAATAAATCTTTTAGCGTCCATTAAAACATGATTATGAAAGAACAGTAAATAAATCTGATGCACTGTGAGTGGTCATAATCTAACAATATGGAAAAGACTGGGTGAAAAACAAGCAGAAAGCAGTAGGTAAATTTACTTTTTATAGAAAATGCACAAAAGACTATTTTAGATTGATGGAGAACTTGACTCTACAAAACTATTAGACAGCTTAAATTTGAAAGATACATTGTTTGATGTTTACTGTGAACGTTTTACAGACTGAGGAGCTTGATGGTCGTAGTAAGCTGAGCAAAACAGAACCAAGACAAGGCGGCGATGGAATTTCGACTGGGATTTAGGATCACCCTGGTCTGGTTCGTCCTGGCCCTGACTCTTTCCGGAGAGGGAGTAGAAGCACAGAGGGCAGGTAAAACAATTAAAATCAAAGCTCTGCACCCAGATTACCAGTAACAGTTTGTCTTTTTTACTGATCCCTTTATACTTGTCTGTTCCAGGTTGTAAAAACGTCCACTATGACTTGGCATTTATAATAGATACCTCATCCAGTGTGGGAAAAGAAAATTTTGAGAAAATTAGGCAATGGGTTGCAAACTTGGTAGAGTCATTTGACATAGCACCTGACAAAACTAGAGTGGCAGTGGTTCGCTACAGTGATAAACCAACCACTGAGTTTACCCTGGGGAGATACAGGACCCTGGAAGATGTGAAGCAGGCTGCCCGGAACATACGCTACCTGGGAGGAAATACAATGACTGGAGATGCTATCAGCTACACCACCGACAACATCTTCACGGAGAGCAGCGGAGCAAGGCCGCTCGCTCGAGGCATTCAAAAGGTGGCCATTCTGCTAACAGATGGCCGAAGTCAGGATTATGTACTGGAGCCCTCCAGGTTAGCCGCCAAAGCTGGAATCCGGATGTTCGCTGTTGGCATTGGGGAGGCTCTGAAGGAAGAGCTGGAGGAAATCGCGGCTGAGCCAAAGAACGCCCATGTCTTTCACGTGACTGACTTCAACGCCATTGATAAAATTAGGGGCAGGCTAAGGAGGAGGCTCTGCGAGAGTAAGTCATTCATCAGATTGTTTTTAAACCCATTACTAACCTTGTATGCTGCACGGTTTCCTTCTGTTACCCCATAATGAAGCACAAACCTCACTCTTAACATGCATTTATCCAATGGCCTCTTATTTTAACCTTTAACCACAGCTCAGGAGCGACCCTCACCACAAAACTCCACCCCAACCCAACGATAGAGTGCATACGGTGCTATCTCTTTTGATCTGTCTTCAAGACTTTAAGGGGCGACTTTTCAAAAAAAGACTTAAAAATAATACTTTCCTCCGGAGACATATCTGTGGTCTTGTTGCCTTTTTCGCCTGCTGTCTTTGAGCAGAGGCGTTTAGTACTGGAAAGCCTCTCTTCGTAAAACCTTTGTGGTTTTTCTACTATTGTACTGAGAAAATTCTTTGAACACATGCACACAGGCTTAGAAAGTAGTTCACACACTCTTATAAATGACCTAAAATGGGGTTCAAAATTAAAACTTATTTAACAACATATAAAAGTAAGGAATTTCTTTCTATAAGGTCTCTTTTAATGAAAAATAAAACATTATGTTCTTTGTTTCATGATATAAAGGCATAGCTGTTGGATAGTTCTGTGGAAAGGTAACCTGGGTGTTATTTTCTTTGCAGTAGCCGACGCCCTACCCGACAGCATTTTTAGTTATGTGGAATTACAATTCTGTTCAGTTCAATCCAGTTTAAGTATATATATAGTTCCATTTCACAACACGTAATTTCAAAGTGCTTTACAGAGACAATTCAATCAGACCAAATCAAAAAGATCATTGAGTCAGATTGGTTAAGAGTTTTCTCTGTAAGGAAGACAAGCTGATGGCATTCAGTCATTAACTTTGCAGGATTTGCTCCTCCTGGATCAGCATGAGGTTAACAGTCTTTTACATTTTGTAGTTGAATCTACAGCAATCTCTCAAATTGAACATGCATACAATGCCTGTAAAGAATAAAAACTCAATTTTAAAAGTAAAAAAACTTCCAGCAGAACCAGGCTCAGTATGAACTGCCTTCTGCCAATGCCAGCTAGGGGTTCGAGAATACAGAAGCAGACATACCAGAGAAACATACAATAGAAGCCCTGATTAATGATTTCTATTTGAGGAAAGTTAACGTTGAAGCAGCTCTACAGGTGGCTCTGTCTAGGTACAGTACGAAACAGTTAAGCATAAGAGCTCTGAGGCAGTTTTAATATCACAAGGGATGAAAGAGAGAACATACAATTAGTGACAGTAAAAGCCGAGCCCATAGTTATGTCTAGGAAGACAAAACACAGAAGAAAAAGGCCCACCTATATTTATATTTGAAGGTTGATAGCAGCAGTGCAGGACCAGACAAGGTTCAGCTACGTATTATGAGAAAAAGCAGAAAGAACATAAAGTTACAGGTTGAACCAAGAAAAATACTGCAGAATGGGAGAACTGAATAAGAGAATTGTGAAAAGTGGTCCCTGTGTCCTCCAGCAGCATAGGCCTATAGCAGCAAAATTATAGAGATCCCTTAAAGTCAAAATAGGCTTAAGTCTCTGAGTCACTCTGTTCTTATGTAATGCTCTTTTTCAAATTTTATAAACAGGAAAAATCTACTGTTGTTGGAATTTAATTCTGACTATGGCAATGAATAACTTCTGTTATTCATTACGGGTGTCTGTACCTATTTCTCCTTAGATATTTTATAAGGGAGGCATATAGTACAAACTTATGAGTTCTACAAAAAGCTACTACCAAAACCTCAAACCGTATCTTCAGAGCAACAATGCGTATGTTTTGACCAGGTATTAGTTCAATCCAAAATACATTAAATTATTATTAAGTTGATTAAAAGCACTTGGCATCTATTAATGGTCCCCTTGGGATGCCGTTGTTGTTAAGCAACATAAATCTGACATTTTGGAGAGACAGAAAATCACTTTATTGTCCCACAATGGGGGAATTGTGGTGTTAAAGCAGCAAAACGTTATAGAAGATGGTCACACAATGTGGAAGGTGTATAAAAATAACAGAATAGGGGACAGAGTAAAGAAAATAAAGAAATTAACACTGTACAGTGTTTTTACAATATAAATGCTCTGTATCTGCAGTATAAATAATCAACCAGACCACAAAGTTCACGGTCTGTACTATGAGTCATCCCCACCTATGATGGGGCAACTATGGCAGAATCGTCAAAGAACTTCTGGAAGTGGCAGTATGGGGAGTTGATGGAGAAGTCTGTAGTGTAGAGGGTGAAGACAAAAAGTGCCAGCACTGTTCCCTGTGGGATTCCCGTACTGTAAACCAACCCATCTGAGACACAGCCCTGTGCCCTCAGATACTGAGGGCAGCCAGTGAGTCAGTCCAGAATCCATTTGGATACGTGCTGATCCACTCCTGAAAGCTCCAGCTTGTCCATTAGGTGTCCTGGCTGGATGGTGTTGAAAGCACAGTAGAAATAAAAAAAAAAAACATGAAACTCACAATGCTTTCAGATTTTCTTGGTGAGTCACAGATTGGTGCAGGAGGAAGATGATGGCTTTATCTGCCCCAATCCCGATAGGCAAGCTCCAGTGGATCCAATGAAGTCTTCACCAGGGGGCATAGATGGTTTAAGACCTCATCAGGTGTGCAGTCAGAGCTACTGGGCTGTAGCTGCTGAGGTCCTTTGGATGTTTTGTCTTTTGCACCAGTTGCATACAAGAGGTCTTCCACAGCTGTGGTACTTCTTCTAGCCTCAGGCTTAAGTTGAACATGTAGCACAATATTCCACACAGTTTATCCGGACATCTCTATAATAATATTGGAAGATATTTCATTCAATATTATCGAAAATGTATATTAAAATGGAAATTTGAAAAACTTCTAAATCATTAAACTAGTTTTGAGAGTAATTCGTAATGTGGATATTTTTAATATATGTAGTTTATGCAAAAGTTTAGCCACAATTTTTAGAGTTTTCATATTTTTTCAGATTTTTTTTTAGATATTTGTTAGATTTATTTTTTTAAGTTTTTTGGGGGAGACAGAGTTTTACCAATTCTTTAAAATGTCGTTTTACGGATTTCACCGTCTACTGTTCTTAGTTGGAGAAACATTTCCATTGGTCTCTATGCAGAATAACAAAACTTAGTCTGCACTGCCTGGACATTAGCAATAGCATTTCTATTGGTCTGACCACAGACCATCCAGAATCAAGAAAAACTGTAAAGACTTTGTAAATAGATTCTGATAAAATAGCAAGCTGTAAAAAGACGGGTTGAACTTTTGCAAATACATAAATTATTTGATTGGGAAGTTTCCAAGGTTCAATTTTTTGAAAAACAGTTTTTTTCAAATTTCCTTTTTTTAAAATCTGTTCTTTACTTTTTACAATCCTGGAACAAATTTATCTCCGTACACTGGGGCCAAACCTGGAAGTTACAGGTCTAGTTCCCCTAGTGGCTCAATAAATTAGACGGATTATGTGGGAAGAAAGACCCCTAAAGAACTAATTATGTCGTAAAGAGTAATAAGCTGTCCGACGCGATCTGTAGCAGGCCACCGGTCAATCTTTAGCCTTTATCTTTTGTATCGGTCTCCGCCAAGTGACGTCAATTGTTTACCTCGGG